ATATATATATATATATATATATATATATATATATATATATATATATATATATATATATATATATATATATATATATAGTATTTCATTACCTTGTTTGCTATCTAATCCATGAAATTTCCTTTCCGTCTTGCATCTAATATTATTGATCGCGCTTAAAAATATGGAAGGAGATCTTTGCGTGTGATTCTTGGAGAGAAATAATTCTTATTTATTTGGGTTTTAAATTTTTATATGTGCTTGGCTAATTTTGATAAGTGCATGATTAATGGCTAGTTGATAAGTTAAGATTTATTTAGGACATTTCCTCAAGAATTTCATTAAATTTGTAAAATTTTGAAATCTATACAACAAATGAAATCCAAGTCAGAGAAAAAAAAATAGAACAAAAAAATTGTTGTTTTGATGGAGAAATTCCAGGATTCAAGTTAAATATTCTAGGGTGATAATGAAGAGTAAGCTGGATGGTTTTTCACAAATTATATACTAATGGAGTTATACCAATTTAAGTTGACAAAAAGGTGAAGCTTATTTAACCACATTTCTTCAAAAGTCAAACCTGATCCAAACTTTTGCATTAGATTCCAAAGAATTTTCATAACATTCCTCTGTATCTAATTCAAGAAAATACATCAACTTGATTTAGAGGCCTCAAAGTTAGAGCTATAGAGAAAGCCCCAGTTTTCTAGAGAAAGGCCCACATTTTCTTGATTGTTTTAAAGGGGCAAGTGGGACTCTTCCCATATCTTTTTTTGTTCTTTTTTGAAGTATTTTTCAACATAGACATCACACTATCTTATCTTCATACATTTCATCATCTAAAGAGCTACTAACATATGCCCCATAATTCTATGATTACCCTCATACCAAAAAGAAAAAAAGGTTACAATATCACACCTTTTACCTAGAACTTTGAAAGTGAAAGAGGGAAATAGTCTTATAATAACACTAAAAAACTATTATTAAACTAAGAAAACTTTTCATGCTGATTGTCATCAACTTTATTAGAAAGATGATTAGGCAGGACTACTTCTATCAAACTATTTAAACTCCAAATTCCTTTTTGCTTTGCCAACTTAGGACACTTGCTAATTTTCCTCATATCTCTCTTATCAAATATATGAGTTTCATGCTAAAAACAACTCCACAAAATCTCTCATATATCATGCATTTTTCAATTTAAGTTCCAAGATTGTTTTCCATTCTCAAATACTGACATGGGAAACTTTCATCTTTCTCATCTTCTGCTTTTCTTGACAACACTTGGTGTTGTTTTAGCTGTTTCTTCACCAGATGGTCCATCTGATTCTTATTGGCTTTTGAGAATAAAGTCGAAATTTGTTGATCCATTCGGAGTTCTTGAAAACTGGTCTGAAGGAACAAGTATATGTACCTGGAATGGAGTGGCATGTTCAAATGATCAATTTCATATTGTGAACCTGAATCTTTCTTCTTCAGGACTAGAAGGTTCAATATCTCCAGAATTCGCGCATCTCACTTCTCTACGAGTGATTGATTTATCAGACAATTTTCTTAATGGAACAATCCCTCCTGCATTAGGAGAGCTTCATAACTTGGAGGAATTGCTTCTTTTTTCCAATTTTCTCACAGGTGAGATTCCTGTAGAGATTGGTCATTTGGGAAAGCTGCAAGTTCTTAGAATTGGAGCCAATATGTTGACAGGCCAATTGATACCAGAAATTGGTGACCTGTCCGAGTTGAGAGTCTTGGCTCTTGCTTATTGCCAGTTCAGTGGAAAGATACCAAATGAGATTGGTAATCTAAAACATCTGAAAAATCTTGACTTGCAGCAAAACAGTCTTACTGGCCCCATTCCAGAATCAATTGGCGGCTGTAAAAATCTTCAAAATTTTGCAGCATCAAACAACAGGATAAGGGGACAGATTCCTGCCTCAATCGGTCAGCTTGAATCGCTCGAAATCCTGAACCTGGCCAACAACAGCATTTCTGGTTCAGTTCCTGTTGAGCTGAGACATCTTTCCAATTTGAAGTACTTAAACTTGTTTGGCAATGATTTGGAGGGTGAAATCCCTTTCGAGCTTAACCAGTTGGTTCAGCTTGAGACATTAGATTTATCAAACAACAATCTTTCAGGAATCATATCTCTTCTCAACACTCAGCTGAAAAATCTTCAGACTGTAGCTCTCTCTGGAAACTTTTTAACAGGAAGCATCCCGAGTAACTTCTGTCTCCACGGTTCAAGCTTAAGCCTACTTATTCTGGCGGAGAATAAGCTATCCGGAAACTTCCCCTTGGAGCTACTAAATTGCACGTCCCTACGACAACTCGATCTTTCCAGTAACAACTTTGGAGGAATGCTGCCACGAGGCATCGACAGGCTACAAAGTCTCACTGATCTCCTGCTCAACAATAACAGCTTTACTGGAACTATACCGCCTGAAATAGGAAACTTGACTAACCTGGAAGATTTGTACCTGTTTCACAACATGCTTTCTGGTGGAATTCCAGTTGAAATAGGAAAGCTTCAGAGGCTAAGTGAATTATACCTCTATGAAAACCAGTTGTCAGGAAGTATACCAGTAGAGTTAACAAACTGCTCCAGCTTAACGAGCGTTGATTTCTTTGGTAATCAGTTTTCAGGCTCTATTCCTGTTAACATTGGTAGGCTTAAGAATCTTGTTGTTCTTCAGCTAAGGCAGAATGAGTTGTCCGGTCCAATCCCACCAAGCTTAGGCTACTGCAGTAAGCTTCAGAAACTGGCTTTAGCTGATAACAAACTTTCAGGATCAATTCCACCAACTTTCAGATTTCTCTCAGAACTGGACCTGATTACTCTTTACAACAATTCTTTTGAAGGTCCATTACCTGAATCTCTTTCCCTTTTAAAAAATCTCAGCATTATTAACTTTTCTCATAACAAGTTTAGTGGAAGCATTTCTCCCTTAGCTGGTTCACATTCTTTGACTGTTCTTGACTTAACAAACAACAGCTTCTCTGGTCCTATCCCATCTGAGCTAGCCTTGTCGAAAAACCTTACCCGTCTTCGCCTTGCTAATAATTTTTTCACTGGTGAACTCCCTTCTGAACTTGGACAACTTGAGGATCTCAGGTTCCTTGATTTGTCGTTCAACAATCTGACCGGAGATCTAGTACCTGCCTTTTCTGGCCTAAAAAACCTTGGTCATTTTCTCCTTAGCTCTAATCAATTTTCGGGGAGAATCCCCACTTGGTTAGGAGGCATAGATGGTCTTGGTGAACTTGACCTTTCATTTAACAATTTCACTGGAACAGTTCCAGCAGAACTAGGCAACTGTCCGCGATTGCTCAAACTTTCTCTAAGTAGCAATAAATTATCAGGTACCATACCACCAGAATTGGGAAATCTCACAAGTTTAAATGTCCTGGATCTTCAAAGTAACAATCTTTCTGGATCCATTCCTTTAACACTTCAACAATGCAAGAAACTTTATGAGCTAAGGCTTTCTGAGAATAATCTGAGTGGCTCAATCCCTTATGAAATCGGCACCTTATCCGAATTACAAGTGATATTAGACCTGAGCAAAAATCACCTTTCTGGTGAAATTCCTTCATCACTTGGAAATCTTGTGAAGTTAGAAAGACTAAACCTTTCATTCAATCAACTTCAAGGAAAAATCCCACCATCACTTGAAAAGTTATCAAGTTTGCATAGGCTCAATTTATCATATAATCATTTCCAGGGCCAAATTCCTTCCACATTTTCAGGATTTCCACTGAGCTCTTTCACTGGTAATAATAAACTATGTGGCCCACCATCATTATCCTGTTCTGAATTAAAGGGACAAGAGACAAAGCGGCTGTCGAATGCTGGTGTTGTAGGGATTACTGTTGCCATTGTGTTAACTGCCACTGTCATATGCATGGTTTTGCTTTATATCATGTTAAGAATCTGGTGCAACTGGAGAAAGGTTACAATTTCATGTTCAGAGACTGGTGGATTTGAGAAGAAAAAAGAAGAGGGAAATTGGGTTTATGGAGAAGAGATTAAAAGTGGTAGTAAATATTGGAATGTGAACAACATGTCACCAGTTAAATCTCCATGTAAAGAGAAGCAAATATCTACAGGAACATGCATGTTTAACCTTAGCAAGAGTTCATCAGATAGATCAGAAAGACCATTAGTTTGAGAGTTTCTATTTGCTTTAATTTGCTCATTCATATTTTCTTCTTTTTTTCTCTACTTTGTATATTTTTTTGATGTGTTCAGATAATTGGTTTAATTCAGTGGGGTTTACATGTAAAGAGCAATTACTTTGTGATAACTCTACATCAAGGAGAGATTCAATTGTATGCAATGATATGATTATGAGAGATGTATGTCTACCACATTGTGAAGAAAATGAGCAAATCGACCGAACCGTTGCTTTCATTTTCAAAAAGGTACTTTTGGGACATGGTGTAAACAATTACTTGTCCAAAATATTAGGGAAAAATAATTTTTAGATATGGAGATCGACAACATATGATGAAATTGTAGTAGGAGGGAGGTGGGACATTGATATAGTGTTTTCCTAACATAATGAGTAGTATAGATTGATAGTAAAATTAGCATTTGGAAGAAACAATAGTATAAAGTAAGAGTGAAACATATTTGTAGAAGAAAACGGCCTAGCTTCTTAAGATGAACTTCATTTGCCTATTTGATGTAGTATTTTAAAGTATAGGGGGGTGAATTGCTTATTTTTAACAACTTTTATCAATAGTTGACTAGATCAACAATTAGTCGACTTGAGATACGGATAAGATAATAACAATAAATGCAGAATTTAAATGCAGGAAGTAAAGACACCGAGATTTTTATACTGGTTCGGATTCAATGTGAATCCTAGTCCAGTCCCCTTGGGTTGCAAGGGTGTTCTCTTTCAGTGACCGTTGTTTCGTGAGTACAGATTGAATGGCGTAGCTTTACACCAATAACTTAGTCTCGATATCTCTCTTCTCTTTTCTTGATACAATGCCTCACCAGTGTTTATCTCTTTTTCTTCTCTCACTTAGTTACACAGCAGATCTAATGAAACTACAATGCTTGTTTGGAGTATAACTAAAAGAGGGTAGATGGTTCGATCAAAGTATATGTCTCCAAGTCTAAGGTTGCGTATAAATACTTTGTAGGATGCCGTTGAAACTGAAGAGATTTGTCAACCCAAGAGATTTGATCCTTGGAAGAAATTGATTCTTTCCAAGAATAAGGTTAATTCCCCTTACTCTTCCTTGATGTGTGGACTTTGACAGCTTTCCATCTTTAATTCTTGATAGCAGCCGGATTTGCTCCTTAAATCTGGGTCCTTCTAGTAATAGCTTCTGATTGATTATTTTGCCGGATCTTCAGTGTTCCTTTTCCTTTTTAACGGTGATTCCTTTCCTTTGATTTCTTCAATCAATCCTTTTGAATGCTTCAATCAATCTTTGATTGATTTCTTCCTTCAGCTTTGATTGCTTCTCTTTTTGCACTTCGATCTTGGTTGATTTCTTTGAGTCCCTACACCAAAAGCAATTATATTATTTTTCATCATTAAAACTAAAACCTAACAATCTTCCCTTTTTTGATGATGAAAAAAAAATAATATATATAAACACCAGTTAACTTCCCTGTATTTTAATCCCCCTCAATGAGTGCAGTTGAATCCCCCTCTATGGGTGCCATTGGGACTACTTCTTTTAGTCGACTTCTCCTGTAGGATCTATAGTCGACTCCCCCTGCAATGGATGTACCTGCACAAATATATGTATAGCCTTCTCCCCCTTTTTGACATCAACAAAGAGGGGATAAAAACAAGAATACACCAGATACTAAAGCAGAATATATAGCATAAGATGCATGAGAGGCATGCAGAGTTATAGCAAACAAAGCAAAAAATCATCCAACGACTGGTTATCCAGTCCAAAACAGCATAGCAAAAAAAATTGTTTGAAACTTCCACACTAACGATGCAAGAAATAAGCAAGAGTTTTGTAAATCGCCTCCTTCAGTTGTTCAAAGCTGGCATTAGTTGAGACTGTCACTCCATCAAGCCTGTCGTGTACTTCCTTGAATGCCTTGACTGCGTTTTCCCTAACCCTGAGAATTGCAACCCTTATTTTTGAAATATCAGACCCTGTCTCTTTGGAGATTGCATGTATGTCCCCAACAATGGACTGAGTTGCAGTAAGGAGATCTTTGATGGTGTTCAGCTGGTTGTCAATGGCAGTCGGTTTCTCAGCAAGGTCAGGATTATTAAGACTGTGATGGGAAACAGAGACTTTGGTCTTGGGATCGGATTGAACATGCTTGACTTCACCTTCCTGTTTCTTAACCTAGGAGCCCTTCACACACACATACCCCACACTAGCAAACGCCCTAGAATTGTAAGATTTTGAAACAGAGACGAAGGGATATTCAGAGATATAGATATTGTGAGCTTCCAGAATGTGAGTGATGGCCATGCCATAGGGCAGACTGGTGGGATCATCAGCACTTTCAATCATAAAGTTTATGATCCAGGAAGACAGTTTGATCTTGAGTTTGGTCACAAGGTAGAAGACAAGAAAGGTATCTCGTTGAGAGAAGGTGGAGAAAGAGCCAATACGAGGGAACAGAGTAGTTGCAACAATGTGGACTAGAACACGAGTTTCAAGGCTAACATCACTTGGACCTAACTGGTTAAGGAGGGATTCAGATGCACACTCAGTAATATAATGTTTTGCTTGATCAAAGGTGATTTCAAAGTCATCAGGCCAAGAATTTTTGAAAAGCATGGGAAAACCAGAACACTTACACTGAAAAATTGAGTCAAACATGGCACAATCAAGAACTATGCGCTTTCCTAACACTAAGGATTCCAACTTGTCAGACTTACTAGAGCGAAGATTGGCATAAAATATTCTCACCAAGGGTTCATAGACTTTAGGAGGGTGAACAGAGAGGAATTCGAAAGCGCTATTAATGACTATGAGAAGACAAAGTTTAAACATCAGGTATACAAGATATAACAATATCACATAGGTCCTAATATTAATGATCAATGGAAATAATGCCAATTAATTCTCTTAAAAAGCAAAATCTATCTTCAAGTAAAGGCTTAGTGAAAATATCTCCTAATTGATCAGTAGTACCAACAAAAGATAATTCTATATTTTTCTTAAGAACATGATCTCTAATGAAATGATGCTAGATGTCTATATGCTTAGCCCTAGAGTGATGCATAGGATTTTTTGAGAGGCATATGGCACTAGAGTTATCACAGAAAATTGGAATGCGTTTAAAAAATAGTTCATAGTCACCCAATTGATGAGACATCCATAATAATTGTGCACAAGATTGTCCAATGGCGATATACTCAGCCTCAGTTGTGGATAGTGCAACTCATCCTTGCTTTTTACTGTTCCAAGATATCAGTGCTTTTCCAAGTAATTGACATGTTCCGCTGGTGCTTTTTCCGTCTTCCTTATCGCCTGCAAGATCAGCATCTGAAAAACCGCCTAGTTTAAAATTGTTAGAGCGTAGATACTGTCACACCTCCTTTTTCATACTACACCCCCGGAAGGGATATAATAAAGGGAGTTATTTTCAACTTGAAGTGACAATCGAAACGGGATTATTATTAAATATTCAGAGTCGCCACTTGGGAGATTTATGGTGTCCCAAGTCACCGGTTTAGAATCCCGAATCGAGGAAAAGAATGACTCTGTTTAACAGTCCGCGAACCAGAAATCCGAGTAAGGAATTCTGTTAACCCGGGAGAAGGTGTTAGGCATTCCCGAGTTCCGTGGTTCTAGCACGGTCGCTCAACTGTTATATTCGGCTTAATTATCTGATTTAGTACATGTATACCTATGATCTATTTAATTTATACCGTCTTATTTAGTTATTTTAGTAAGATT